CAACTCTGCGCAATGCGATTGTTGCTACGGTAGGCGGCCTAGATGCGGAGCGCCCGCGGTGCGCGCGCGCCGCGGCGTTGACCAACGACCGCGCCACTGAAGCCTCCCGCCCCGCGCGCGGCGCTCCGCATCGAGGCCGCCCACCGGCGCAGCAATCGCATTGCGCACAGTTGGGCGTCGCCCAGAATGCAGGGAAGGCCTTGGCGCTTATCGCCAGCCAGACTGACTCGGCCGCTGGCAGGCGGGCCGACTGCGCGCTCCGAGCACGCGGCCCGGCATCTTCACACAGGCCCGCCAGCCGCCGCGCAGCTCTGGAGAGGTAGCTGGCGTTGCGCTGCACTGCTTGAAGCTGCTGTTGAGCCTCGCCAACAATTGGAGCTGCCCCGCCCGCCGCCGCGAGCGCCGCGCCGTGGCCTCGTTCTCTGGAGAGCCCCAGCACCACCCCTCGCGGCCACTCGCACCGTTGCAGCAGCTCCGACCCCGCCACTCCGGCTCCCGAGCGCGCGGCGAGCAAGCGGAAGAGCACGCGCATGGGCCAAAATCCGTTACTGGTGGTCTTTTTTCCTCCTTCCCATTTTTTCTTTTTCTTTTGAGAGCAGGACGCCGGGTTTGTCTTGTATGTGCGTGTCGGGCCAGGGTGTGTGCGCGGGGCGGCGAGGGGCAGGGGCGTGCAGGGCGGGGGCCCAACGTCGGGTGGCTTGTCGGGGCCGAAGAATTCGAGGAGGGATCGAGGAGGGGGGAATGGGCGGTCGGCGTCGGGGTAGCAGGCCGCAGGGCGTACGGGGTAGCCGTCACTTTCCTGCCTCACAAGGGCGGGGCTGTCCCGGAAAGTGAGAAACGCCGGGCAGCGTGGCGCATTACTGAACCCTCCCATACGTGTTTGGGCTTCCTCCTTTGCTGTCCCATCTCCTCATCTCTTTCCCGCCTGGGCGGGGCGGTGGGCGGGCGCGCGGTGCGGCGTGGCGTGTGCGTGTGTGCGACTGCAACGAAGGGCCGCTCGCAGAGGACCATTGGGTTTGTACTATTAACAACGAAGGCGCTCTCAAAAGAAAAAGTATACTCCTCGTGACGCCCTCCCCCGGCACATATGCCTGCCACGAGTTCCACGCAACCGGCTCGCAAGAAGCTCAAAAAGGGAAAGCCAAAGATTGCCGCGAGCGCCAGCGGTGCCAGCAGCGGCGCGCCATCCTCGGCGGCGGCGGCTCAGCGGGCGGCGGCTCCGCCGTTCGCAAGCCTCGAGCCGGCGCTGAGTGCGTCGACGCTCGAGGCGGTGGCGTCGCTCGGCTTTGAGCGCGCCACGCCGGTCCAGGCCGCCGCCATCCCGCGGCTGCTCCGCCACCAGGACGTCGCCGTGCAGGCGTGCACCGGCTCTGGCAAGACGCTCGCCTTTCTGCTCCCGCTGTACGAGCTCCTCGCGCGGCGCGAGACGCCGCTCACGCCCAAGCAGGTTGGCGCGCTCGTGATCGAGCCGACGCGGGAGCTCGCCGCGCAGGTCCACGCCGTCGCGCTCCGCTTCGCCGAGCGGCGCGCCGCGAGTGCCGCCGCCGTCGGCGCAGCCGCCATCGCCGCAATCTTGCCGCCAGTTCTCGTGGTGGGCGGGACCGACCTCGCCGAGTCCATCGCCTCGCTGGGCGCGGCGGGCGCGCACGTGCTCATCGGCACGCCCGGCCGCCTCGAGGACGTGCTCGGCCGGAC